TATGTATGCTATCAGCCTAGCATGAGATTTGTCTTAGAGTGGATGTGAATGGCACAGATAGGTGATGGAATCTGTGTCTTGAAAAAAGTCTAAAAGACAAGATTCACTTGAATCTAATTCAATCAAGTACTCTCTACACATTGCAGATTGAATTCTTTTTAGTGCATTTAGCATATCCTTCATATCTTTGGATCATTTTAATGAAACATGGTCCAAATACGTACAATGTATATCTGCTTTTAATGATTTCAAGTCATGAAAACCCTTTTGATAACAGCTCTGTGATTATTTACTTTACTACAGTTACAATTTCTGATCAAGGATTGTGTTGCTTTAATTTTTCTCACAATAGTTCTCCAATAAGTTTGACCAGCCTGTTTTTTTGTCAGTAACCCTCATTTTGTGTTGTTTTTCATTTGTATTGTTTAAGACTTTCTGAAGTGTTTCTTCAAGAAGCTTGGACATGATCGAGCGTGTAATATTAAGCTTATCCTGGTGACATTGACGCAGTACCTAGTCTGCAATCCAGCAGTGACCAAGACAGAGAAACTTCACATCTTAAATAACTACACCCTCCAACAAGTTGCTGAATTGTACGTATGGAAGGGCACTTCTGAAGCAATGGTAAGTTTGCAGATTGTGATTTTTAGATGTAGTCTAAAACCAGATGCTTCCAAGAGAGTAGCCATAGAAATTCTTGCTCATTGCGTACTTTTTGATTGACTAGGTTTAATTCAATACAAATTTTACAACTCCCTTTCAAGGTTTAGATATTTAACTTGATGGTTTTTTTATACCCAAAGACAGCTCACATGATGTTACATTTAAACATCATGTCATCACACTTTGCTTTGTAAAATTGTACCAAAATCATATAAAGGTTTGATATTGCAAATACACACAATGTTATTGACTGGAGTTACTGACTTGGACTCAAATTGCAATTTGAATTGACTTGGAGAAAAGTTATTTACAACTCTAGAAACAGGCTAAAGAATTATACAAGGCCTTGACCTGCACAGAGTGACATTTCCCTGGACATTCCTGATGGCTAACTTTCATGGTGGGAACCATTGTGATTGACTTAAAACAGAAAAATTATCAAAGATGAATGTATATATTTGTACTTTCTGTCTTTGGCAAGTGCCACTGTGCCACCAGTAATAGGATTACTATGGGCATCAGATGTGGATTCATAGCAACAACTTGACCAAAAAAGGAAAATTAAATTCCAATTACAGCATGACCCTAACATTGATGAAGATCTCCAAGTGTTAGAGATACGTCAACTTTGTCATCAGTTTCTACTGAAAGTCACGTGTGACCTCAAACATGGCATCAATTTCTTGGACAACTCTCTAGGACTGTCAGGAAAGTAAGTTTTATATGTGTGATGTCAACATGTACAAAATACACCCATGCAAACCGTTCACCTTACATTTGAGAACTACAGGTAATTTATAAAGATTTCCCTTTAAAACATTTTAATCAACTTTGTATTCAAACCTGGTAACAGGAATCATGACAATTTTTCATCAACATCCTTTACCATGTGATGTAAAGAATAATAGTACTGTTGCACCTGTTTCTTTTGTTGGTGCAGAAATTACAATTCTATTTTGCTGAAGTTCTTATTGAGTCTTCATAATGCCACAAAAGATGAGTTGATGTTGGAGCTGGTTGTTCAAATTCTACATACATGTCCTGATATTGTCAACCAGTACCTAACCCAGTGTAAGATGTCCTTTCAACTGAGATCTTCTGCATCATGGCTTGACAACATGGAAGTGCTTGAGCAGGTTAGTTTACACGTACATGTAGGTAAAATTTGTTGTATTTTGGAACACTTCATCATTGGTGTGTTTAAATGAATGCTAGTTTGTGGCTGTATTTGCATTGAGAAAAATCTGTTTTTCAGAGTGGTTAGGTGACTAGGACTGTTTATCATGCTTGGCAATCAGGTGTTTGTGGTCTATTGAACCTTGCAATAAATCTTTGCCTTTAATTAACTTTTTATTTTGCAACCTCTTTCAGTTTTGGAAAAATCTTTTTCCGAGAGACTAGGTCTGTTTGTGAGTGACTTGTGGCTAACTCTCTCGGAAATAGTTGGGGTATATCAGTTTGAGTCCTTGCAGAATTCCATGTTTGACCATAATATTTGTTCCTGAATAAAATATATGTTATTTTCTTTAAATGTCTGTCTTTTAGACAAACATGTCTTTTAGACAAACATGTAGCTGTGTGTGTAACAATGCTTTGAAAAAGAAATGTTTGATGACATGTATTGAGGTGATTCAATTTCCCCAATTGTCAGGCCAGTCTGTAATTCTTTCCATCTTAGCACTCACAACATGTAACTATTCTACTTATTGAATCTTACTGCATACATGTAGATGGACTTTTAAAGTTTGATCCCACAGATTATCCCAGTCAGTGATGCCATTATTCTTGGTACTTGAGTGTTTGTAATGTATTGAATCTTGCTACAAATCTTGAAGTTCAATTATTTGCTCCACAGATTATGTCTGGCCAGTCCATGATTCCTTCAGCATTGCTACATGCTAAGAATGTTTCCACAGGCTACATGGTACAGTTAGCAATGACTAACACAATTCCAACAGTCTTGACACCAGTTCTTCTGTCTCAGGCTGTTAAGGTTTGTATCTTTGTTGCTGTGTAATCATTTGTGACTGGTTTTGGATTTGTGTTGGCCACAGGTAGTTGGTGTAGTTTATAACATGTACATTTTACATGTAGGCATATGTGATATTTCAGTAACTATAAGTGCTTTCATTATTAGCAGTCTGATATTCTTGTTGGATATTTGGAGTACCACATGACCTTATTTATTGTGTATATACATCATGCATAAGAAGTAGGCTTGCATGTACCGTACACCGTGGAATCAATCTCTTTGGAAGAGGTGTGGTTCTTAGAAGAACCGGTGAGTGTTAACTGGATGTTTAAGAACCATACCTCTTCCAAAAGAGATTAATTCCATGGTGTACCCGCAAGCCTACATCTCAGGTAAACTGTTACCATGCAAAGCATCAAATCTTACATATCATACATACAAACGAGTTTGTCCTAATTCAGTCCATCACAATTCCTTTATCATTGACCATCCCATTTCTTGAGATTAACCTTTGTGAACAAGTGTTACTAACCTCTGTGAAAGGACTTGGGACTACACTTGTGATCGACTCAGCACTGGTTATTGGGTGTATGGGAGTCATTTCAATGTTGATATCTTCATAAAATGCTGTTATAAGATGCTTGTTAATGTGACAGAAAGGACATTTTTCAAGTTGACGCGCTGACAAAAACATGGCCAACTCAGTGTGATGTTATTTGCATTTGAGAGAATCTCAGCAGACAACTTTAGGGAATGTTTGATCAGTCAGGGAATTCCGTACCTCACAGACATGACAGAT